TATCTCCGTAATGGTATAAGATGATTTTATAGGAACCACGTTCAAAATTAGATAGGGGGCGTGGCACCGCCCACTTTTAGGGGAAACCCCATATCTTGGGATCTGCTTAACCGATTTCAACCGAATTCGGTACATAACATTCTTTTCATATCTCTATATTATAGTACGAAAATGGGAGTAATTGGATTACAACCACGCCAATTTCCCATATAACACCATTTTAAATTCCATCTGATTCTTTCACTTTCCACTATGTAAATCAAGCAACAATGATTGCAATGGGTTAAAAGTTTGCGTGGATAATGCGTTTAAAGTATGCCATCTTGTGACCAAAAATTGTCTATATCGAACCATAACTGCTTAACTCTTTAGGTACTGAATATGTGGACCCCAGTGCCCATAGTTGACTTTTTACCGAAAATATAGGTCAATGTGTAAGATATATATTAAAATTCATATAATAACTAGTAAGGGAGGGCTAAGTTCGGATGTAACCGAACATTTTATACTCTCTCAAAGTCAAATGGTATACTCGTTTTAGATTTCTTTGTGGATCTAGCCGCCTTGTTCTATGTTTTATCGCTTTATCGGCAAAATCAATTAATTGTGTTCAAAATAGTCTAATTCTGCTTTAATACAGCTTTTTGCACGGTCCAAAAGCATGTCGAACGAGTGTTTTAGCTCGTTAGCCGGTATGACCGTCAGTATGCCGGTGCAAGCCTTTTGAATGGCCTCCACGTCTGCATTACGCTTTCCTTTCATCGGCAAATGCATTTGCCCGAAAAGGTAGAAGTCGCACGGTGCCATAGGTGAATACGGGGAGTGGTTGATTGTTAAAATGTGATTTTTGGTCAAATAATCGGCCACAAGCGTCGATCGATGAGACGGCGCATTATCGTGCAACAAACGCCAACTTCCATTTTCGCGATATTCGGGCCGAATACGTCGAATACGGCGCACCAAACGCTTCAAAACTCCAAGGTAGAATACCGCATTAACGTTTTGGCCGGGTGGAACAAATTGTTTGTGGACAATGCCCTTGGAATCATAAAAACAAATCAGCATTGTCTTCACTTTTGACTTCTCCAGGCGCGATTTTTTGGGATTCGGCTCATTTCTCATTTATGTCCTCACGACCACTTTGAAAACGTTGTAACCACTCGTCCACTGTGCTACGAGATAGGTAATCATCGCCATAAACTTGTTTCATCAATTGATATGTTCCGGTAAAAGTTTTACCAATTTTAAAACAAAATTTAATGTTGGATCTTTGTTCGAAGCTTATTTTCGCACCGATGACACAAACATACTGACAATTAAAACTCAATAACTTCACTTCCAATAGATAAAATGTCATGAAATTTTTACTGGAAATCGATAAAGGATAGCAGATTCTAACGCACTAGTCGATATATAGACACTAGATTTTACTTTGTTACTTTTTTACTGTTTACTTTGGAACGCACCTTGTATAACATAGAAATATGAGAAAAATATTACAATAAGTACCGAAAAAATTATTTAAACTCTCGATAATTGTATGTCTTTGTGTCAAAAATGGGTTGGATCGAATCAATACTTCCTTTAATATAAAATTTTGCCTGAAGTAATTTCCCGGGCTTTGATCCTTGCAAGTTGCGAGAGTAAAAAATGTTCAGTTACACCCTAACTTAGAACTTCCTTACTGGTTTTGCATAACTTTTTTAGTACTCTTCCCGTTGCTAAACACTTGCGTGTGTTCGTGCTGAATAATAATTGGTCATATGACAGTCACAGCTGAAAAAATTGTGTCAGCGCGCAGAACAAAGTTCTATCATTTTCTTAAGAGCGTTGTGCAAAAACTGATGTAAACAAACGCATGTGTGTGAGTTTACATCTCTCTTTAACACATGGCTGTTCGGAATTGATTCACTTTATATCTATACTGCTCACACTCATGTCTTTTTCTGAGCCATTGCTGACCATAAATCCATCATAGCTGCAATTTCTCAGTCATGACTGTAAATCTATCACAAGTGAAAAATTCTTATGCGCAGTACATAATATAATTTTTTTTCTTTAATAAATTTTAAACTTTTAATCAAAATTATTTATAATAATATACATAAATATAAAAAGGATTGCAACAAAAAATATAATTACATAATAAAATTTGAAAAGAAATTTTCACTTAATGCCATCTCCTCCTCTCAATAGCTCTGCGTCCTCAATCAGTGGATATTTCTGTATTTAAAAATGCAAACGTAGATTAACTAAATAAATAGTTTTATTTGAAACTTATTTAGCTTGTATGTATATCATAGGTGAAAACTCCTCTCTTTCATAAAAATGTATATTTTTAACACCAAACCCAAAAGAAGCGTGCAACACTTTTCGTTTTTGGCAAAAAGAACACTAAAATTTGTTTTGCGCAATTGTTGAGTAAAGGATTCAGCAGTTTCATTCTTACATATGTAAGCAATATGATTCGAAGATGTCTCTCTTTTACAATAACAGTGACGGTCAGTTGACAAGTAAACTACTGACATAATAACTGTGAGTGTATTGGTGAACCCATCAGCAGTTTCTTGTAGGATAAGTACTGCAACCCTGTTACTAACTTGATAATATGCTGCTGATGCTCGGCTGATAGTCTGCTGCAATATTGCAGCAATTGCTTCGCACAGAACATGTAACTTAGATATATGAAAATTTAATGTGTATATAATTGCTGACGAAATGGTGGATAAGAGAAAACTTTTTGATAATACGTACAAAAGAATATATTATTAAATTAATTAAATAATTATTTAAAGAATACTGCAAAAAAAGGAAAGTCATATAAGTGATAACTTTTTTAGAATAATTGATTTACCATACATTTTACGCTAATAAACAAATAACAAATTGTATCGCACATAAAATTAATATTTATTAGAAATTCCACTTACAATTCCATTGCGTTGATACTATGGATAAAATGATTCAAAGATACGCAAATCAAGGACGATCATTTCGAAGATCAATGGCAATGTTCTTCATTATGCTAGAAATTTCTTAACTGGCATCATATCCAAATTTTTATGTAAATTGAGTGAAAGACTGACTATGAAAATGATAGAGCAACGCACAGTTAACCATCAAGTGATGCGAGCTTTTACTACGAAGGTTGCCATAGAGTATTTTGGGCCATGCAGTAGAAACTCCTACGCCAAATCCTGGCTCAGTGGTTCAACTAGATGAAACTGGACGGATCTTACCATACAAGTATGTGCAAAAGCTGTAATAATTGTCGCCTGCCAATTTGTGATGAACATTCAATAATAGTGCACAATATCTTAAATATGAATTATGCATTATATAAAAAAAAAACTGTAATATTAATAAAACTTAATTGGATTAATTTAATAAACCATTTGCAATTCGATTTTTATGCTTACTACTGTGGGTACCAGGGTACCCAGTTTGCTTATGGGATGATGGCTGAAGTTTACGCTAATTTTAATAGTATAATTAAAATAAAATAAAATTAAGGGGTTACATAGGTCTTGAAGGCCAAAAAAAAAAGCTTATTTTCTCTAATTTTTTTAAAAGATACTAAATAAAGTATACAATTTATTTTGTTTACATATAAAAGTGCAATATGTGGACAACATTTGATGAAAATTTGAATGTAAATAGTATAAGTTAAGGCGTTGGTAGTGTAGTGCAGTAGATCGTCCACAAGAAAGTGCTTTCGTGGTAGTCATGATAACTTTTTCAATTTTTATCTATCAAAAATCCAAATTTTTTCTTAAAGTAGGTACATTTTCCTTGTCCCTGAACGAAGAAAAATTAAAAAAAATTAAAAAATTAATTTTTTTTGTGGCGTTTTTTACAAAAAACGTAATTTTTTGCATAACATTAGGCCACATATTGGCTTGTAAAATGAGTTGAAATCAAAGATAAAATAAATCCTTCGTTCAGGGACTACGAAAACATGCTTAAAAGAAGTGTGGAAAATTTTAACTCGATAGCTTCAATAGTCGTTGAGAAATTTTGACTACCGATTTCGATAAAGTGGTTTTAAGTAAAACGCGTTTAAAGTCTCGCTTCGGTCAAGCCATGACAGAGACAGCGGGTTATAAAACTCTCTAATTTCTACAATTTCGTCTCGATCGACTTGAAACTTGGGGAAAATATTCCTGACACTTTGTACGTTTATACAAAAAATTATTTTAAAAAAAATGAACTTTTTGAAGTTTCAAGACCTATGTAACCCCTTAAATGCACACATGAAAGCTAGCTTTCGAATTAAACAATGAAGATTCGGGAGCTTAAGATGAAATTTTATTTATTTTGTATTTTATTCATGCTAATACATCGTGGTGGGCCCCCGGTCATTGATATAAAGATTGAGCAAAATGGGCAAAAAATGTAATAACGATAAATGTTATAAACCAATTTAAAACCCATAAAATCGCGCAGCGAAAAATTACTAAATTAGTAAATTTGAGTGACTAAATAGTCCACAGTAAAATTGAGCGGCTAGTTCAAGAAAATTTAATACAAATAAAAACTGCACCAAACAAAATTAAGGGGAACATAAAATGAAATCCGAAACTATTGGCTCTATACGTTTAACGAAATCCCAATACTGAGATCCAGAAATGTAACATTAATCTAACTGTAACACAGGCTGAGTGTAGTAGTCTTATGGTGTGAGCATGTATGCCGGCGTTGGGAATTTAGTCTTTGTTGAGAAGGAGTTCAGAAAATAACTGGAGTTTTTTCTATTAAACTACACTTTCATATCAATAATTTGGCTTTGGAATCACAAAGTTTAACCACGTACTTAATGCTTATATCTACAAACTTTTAAACCTTATTTTTTACATATATAAACATGTGTAGTGTAAACAACCAAAAATTGTTTTAAACGATTTATGAAAAATATAAAATAAATAGAAGACTGTGAAATATATTTTTAATAAAGTTTTAAATATTAATCTTATTTTTGAATATATATTATGTTATTTTACCTTGAATATATATGCAAATCGTACTCTTTCTATGCTATATTCAGTCTGAAGAGCAATATTTCGGAAGGTAGTGCGAACAAAATTATAAGAATCATTGTTTTCTGTAATAAGAATAACACATAAACGTTTCCGAGGTTGACTCCACTCAGCTGGACATACTCCTGAAATATTTTAAATGAAAATGTATGATTATTAACAGATATATATTTAATGTTACAAGTAAAGAAAGGCCAATTTGTATGTAACCTAACATTTTAAACTCTTGCAATTAGCGCGACTCAAAGACAAAGAATAATTTTGAGGTATTGAAAAATATTGGTATTGACATCGACAGATATATTCGGCTAAAGTCTGCTAAATTAACAATAACCATTATATATATGGGCTGGGGTAATTCGTTTCACCTATTTTTCCCATCAAACTACCCATTATCAGGTGTCCATTTAATTTTGTCAAGGTAGCTTTTGCAGACAACAACGGAAAGTGAATCAGACTCATGTTTGTATAATTGAAATGTTCGACAGTGTTTGGGTTGTATATCATATCCGTGACACTGATTTACTAGCGCATTTGCTGTACAAATACTATTTTGATAGATCAATAATTTTCCCTCGATCCGCTGCAAGGATCTTATCGACTACACACTATTTTTTAATGAAAGAACGATTTGTCTGATTCCATTCAAAATCTGGTTTAATACAAAGTCAATGATCTCATTTATACCAATTTGCAGTCTTCCTGACCAACTACGCTTATGCTTTAGTTAGTGCCCAAACAGTCACCGACATTCCTCCCTTTCTTACTTACCGTATCACACCAAATTTGTCAAAAGTTATGCCCGTAGTTGCCATTGTTCTATTTGTATACACTATTTACTCAAAATAGTTTACCTACTTATAAATAAGTGTATTCGACTGTGATTTTAATTTATTTTAGGAATATTTCAAATATATTCAAGTTAATTTTTTTATTACTACAAAATATCGAGATTGGCAACCCTGCGTAGCAAGAGATTGCTCTCTCACTCTCAGCTCACTCGTTTCTACGAAAAAAAAGCCCAATTTTCGCGGATATGCTACCGTATGGTCTTTTGAAGCGATGGTGACTGATCATTTACATTACGCTCTCATTAGATAGGTCGTATCAGCTGATTCGGGACACGGTTTTGCGTCGGTGACTGTTTGTGCATTAGTGACCGAAATGCCGCCTTTCCTTACTGGCAACGTAGAAATCAGTTTTTCTCTTTTGTTTTTATTTGAGCAATGTTGCCATTGCTCAATTTATACACATGGTTTTGCACATATCTGCATAGCTTTTAACAATTTTCATAACGCAAAACATCACTTATAACTAGATTCCAACTATTAACCAGTAAGGAAGGGCTAAGTTCGGATGTAAAGTCAAATGGTATAATCGTTTTAGATTTCTTTGTGGATCTTGCCGCCTTGTTCTATGTTGACCGATATTTTCGGAAAAAGTCAACTACAGGCACTGGGGTCCACATATTCAGTACCTAGGGGTTTGAACAGTTTTGGTTCAATTTAGATAATTTTTGGTCACAAGGTGGCGTATCATTCACGCAAATTTTGCCGATATAATCATTGTTGCTTGATTTTCAGACTAGACAGTGAAAAAATCAGATGGAATTTATGGTTGTAATCCAATTGCTCCCATTTTCGTACTATAATATAGAGATATGAAAAGAATGTTATGTACCGAATTCGGATGAAATCGGTTAAGCAGATCCCAAGATATGGGTTTTCACCTAAAAGTGGGCGGTGCCACGCCCTTTATCAAATTTTGAACGTGGTTCCTATAAAATCATCTTATACCATTATGGAGATAAAATTTAATGTCTCTGGGTTGTTTAGTGCTTGATTTATCGCGTTTTAGTAGTTTTTAACACTACCGTTATATGGGGAGTGGGCGGTGTTGTCACCCGGTTTCAGCCATTTTCCCACCGTGGATAGAGATACTAAAAATATTCGTTCCCAGTGAATTTTGTTATCATAGCTTCAGTGGTATAGGAGATATGCACATTTAACTTATAAGGGACCACGTCCACTTAAAAAAAAAATTAACTACAAATGTCCCTCCCTAATGTGATCCTGTATACCAAAAAAGGGTCTTGTATCTTGTTTTGGAGCTTAGTTATGGCAATTTATTTGTTTTTGATTAATGGCGTTTTGTGGGCGTGGCAGTGATCCGATTACGCCCATCTGCAATACCAACCGTCTTACGGTACCAAGAAACATGTTAACTATCTCAAGTTACAGCTTGTACAGACGGACGGACGAACGGACAGACAGTCAACCGGATTTCAAGTCTCTTCATCCTGATCATTTATACATACATATATAACCCTATATCTAACTCGATTTGCGAGAGTGTAAAAATAGTCTACATACACTGGCCAAAGAAAGTATTCGACATATGCATTTTTCTATTTATTTTTAAAATATTCCTTAATATAAACTAATAAAAGATCAAAAATCAGTGTTTTTTGAAGCAATAATTTATTTAGTTTGTAACTTGATGGCTTTTATGATAATTAAAACAACAAAACTAATCAAAAAAGCACAAAAACTAAATAACCCCGAATATTGAAGCAAAAAAATATTCGACAATTATGCAAAAGAGCGAATTCCAATAATTAACGGTAAAAAATAACGATCAGTTTGAATATTTTGCTTAACATTATTTTGCAGCAATCAATTTTAAAGCGATATTTAAAGTAAATAAGTGAAGTATTAAAGTATATTTTTTATAAGTATTTAAATAAAAAATTTTATCGTAAAGTACTTTAAAAGTGGATTAACCGAAAGCAAAATAGCCGAATTAGTTGATAGGCCACCTACAACTATTCATTATATTTTAAAAAATGGAAAGATAAGAAGTCGGTTGAAAATTATCCAAGGTGTGGTCGACCTAAAGTCTTTTGTAAAACAGACGAACGTTGGTTGGTTCGCCAGGTCAAAAAAGAACCAAAAACAAATGCCACGGTTCTCTCCAAACATGTTAAAGAAAGCCTAAACATAGATGTGACACCCCAAACCATTCGAAATATTTTAATTTATTAATTAATAAATATTTGCAAATTAATGACTACAGGGGAAGAGTTGCGCGCAAAAAGCCACATATCTCTAAAAAAAACAGATTGGAAAGATTAAGCTTTGCAAAAACGTATATAAAGAAGCCCGCTGAATTTTGGAGTAATGTGATGTTTGCAGATGAGAGCAAATTTAATCTTTTTGGATGTGATGGCAAAGTAATTGTGTACAGAAAACCCAATACAGAGCTGGAAGAGCGAAATACAGTGGCAACTGTGAAACACGGAGGTGGAGGCGTTATTATTTGAGGGTGTATGTCGGCAGCAGGAGTTGGAAAAATGGAACCAATTCGCCAAATCATGGACCACATGCAATATATTGGTATTTTGAAGAGAAACTTGCGAACTAGTGCAGAAAATCTCGGAATCGGAGCGACTTTCCAGTTTTACCAAGATAACGACCCGAAGCATCCCGCATTAAATACAAAGCCTTGGGTTTTATACAATTGCCCTGGAGTAATTAAAACGCCTGCTCAAAGTCCAGATCTAAATCCCATTGAGCATCTATGGGATCATTTAGAAAGAAGACTAAGACAGCGTCATTTTACGAGCAAAACCCAAATGGAACAGATACTAATGGAAGAGTGGTACAGTATAGACACATCCATAACAAGAAAGTTGGTCGAATCAATACCAAGACGTTTAAAAGAAGTAGTCCGAAGAAAAGGAAGAGCTACGCGATATTAAAAAGTGATTTTTTGTTTTTTAACTTGGATTTTACATGAATTGTCGAATATTTTTTTTGCTTTTAATTTTGAAGTAATTCAGTTTTTTTGTTAGTTTTGCTGTTTTTATTATCATAAAAGTCATCAAGTTGCAAACTAAATAAATTATTGCTTTAAAAAACACTGGTTTTTGGTCTTTTATTAGTTTATATTAAGGAATATTTCAAAAATAAATAAACAAAATGCATATGTCGAATACTTTCTTTGGCCAGTGTATTTATAAATAACTTATTACAAAATATAGAGACTGGCAACCCTACGTTGCAAGAGAGCCCTCTGCTGATTCGTTGTTCGTTCGACGGAAGAAGCGGTGGTGGGTGTTCATTTACATTGAGCTCTCATAAGATAGGTCATATCTGCTAATTCGGTGTATAGTTTTGCGTCGGTCACTAACTAAATCATTAATGAAATTTCAGACTACTCGGGATCGAATTGCAACTTTCACCAAAAACTGAACGTGCTTCCGCCCTTTAATAAGTTTAATGTATATGTCGACTAGTGCGTTAGAATCTGCTATCCCTTATCGACTTCCAGTAAAAATTTCATGACATTTCATTGGAAGTGAAGTTATTTCGTTTTAAGTGTTAGTATGTTTTTGTCATCGGTGCAAAAATGAGCTTCGAACAAAGAGCCAACATTAATTTTTGTTTTAAAATTGGTAAAACTTTAACCGAAACATATCAATTGATGAAACAAGTTTATGGCGATGATTGCCTATCCCGTATCAGAGTGCACGAGAAATGGTTTCAACGTTTTTAAAGTGGTCGTGAGGACATAAGTGAGAAATGAGTCGAAACCCAAAAAATCGCGCTTGGAGAAGTCAAAAGTGAAGACAATGCTTATTTTTTTTTTATGATTCCAAGGGCATTGTCCACAAACAATTTGTTCCACCCGGCCAAAACGTTAATGCGGTATTCTACCTTGAGTTTTGAAGCGTTTGGTGCGCCGTATTCGACGTGTTCGGCCCGAATATCGCGAAGATGGAAGTTGGGGTTTGTTGCACCATAATGCGCGGTCTCATCGATCGACGCTTGTGGCCGATTATTTGACCAAAAATCACATTTTAACAATCAACCACTCCCCGTATTCACCTATTGCACCGTTCGACTTCTACCTGTTCGGACAAATGCATTTGCCGATGAAAGAAAAGCGTTATGCATACATGGAGGCCATACAAAAGGCTTACTGGCGGCTATATCGGGCTATACCGGGTAACGAGCTAAAACACTCGTTCGACATGCTTTTGGACCGTGCAAAAAGCTGTACTAAAGCAGAAGGAGACTATTTTGAATAAAACTAATTGATTTTGCCGATAAAACCATTTGTT